TTCGTTATTTTTAGACTTACCATTAGGTAATCAAGTGGAGAGTCTGAATCTTAGCTTTTTGGGTCCGGGATTCAAATTAGACAACTTTTAAGCTCAGATTCAGAATCAGCACTCGATACCTACTGGCAGGCTTCAGAAATAACGAAAGAGCACTTTCTTACATTTAGCATATTTTCCTAGGGACAAATGATCTTAAGGATTACCGCCTTAAAATTATTTTTTAACGGGAAATATGTTTTTAATCATTTACCATAAAAAATTTTCTTTGGTCTTAAAAATAATTTTTATTTCAGTTTGCAGGCTTTAAACATTTCATCTTGTCAATTAGAAAATATTTATTTTGGTGATGGCGTTTTTAATGGTTTTACTAATTTAAATACTCTTATTTTGTGTGATAATCCAATTAATAAAGTTTTCTTTTGATTTTTATTTTCTTTTAAATTAATTTATTTAGTGGGAATCAATTGATCAGCTTGGTCGTTTGCCTTCCTTGGAAAAATTAAATTTGAAAGGAACTCTTTTATTTGGTTCTAGAGGTGTGGAAAGCAGAGAAATTGTTATTGCTAAATTGCCCAAAATTGTATTTATTTTTTAGAAAATTAAAAAATTTATAAGACTTGTGGGTTATTTTTTAAGTTTGTGGGTTATTTTGAATAGTGATCGGCTGGGAACGTCGTATGAGAATCGAGGATCTCGAAAAAATCTCGATTTCGTTAACCGAGATTCTTGATCGTGATCTCTTCTCGGTCCATTCTCTAATTTTGAATGTTGCTTATTCCTCCTAGCTATAGAATTTTTATTTTTAATTTAATTTTTTCTTGTAACAGATATATTTGGATAAATGCGATGTTTCTTCATCTTTACGTAAATCGGCCGAAAAACTTTTTATTAGTCGTTTTTCTCTTCCTCCTAATTGTCAGGAGCATAAAAGCACTTTAGAACGGCTTAAAGCAGCTTATGGTCTTTCAAATGGTTTGAATTAAATAAAAAAATCTTTTTTTCATTTATCAATTCCATTTGTAATTTTCTAATAATTTTTTACCATTCCAGAACCAGAAAAGGACGGAAAACCTCCACCAATTTCCCAATATTCTGGCATCCAAACTCGCCGTCTCTTTTTGTCTTTCGAAGAGAAATCTACAATGCGTTCACTTTCATTGTCATTACCTCTTCATAAAGTTGTTGGATTAGGTGCTCGGTTATTTGGATTTGAACCTGATCAATTAAAAGGTTTGGAAATTTAGAAACAAAATTTATTTAGAAGAATTTTAGGAGTTGAAATTCAACGTTCAGACCCAAACTTCCCTTCAGAATTGATAGCACGGACAAAGGACAATCTTTTAAGACAATTTGCACTTGAAGATGGAGATACTATCCGATTTGTTTAATTTTAAACAAAATTTTGTATTTTTTGTAAATTACGGGTTTATTTTTAAATCTTGAGTAAATTATTAATTTTTGTAATTTTTTTGTTTTAATAATTTTTGAGAATTTTGAAAAACTAGCGGAGGGGGTCGCCCTTCGGGCACCCCTTCCGCTAGCTAAATTCTAAACATTACATAAGCTTAAATTAAAACACCTCATACATAAAACTCACTCGTCAACTATTAACTTTAAATCAACTATTAACTAAGATTTTCAACTTCCAACTATTAACTATTAATATCTATGTCTACTATTAACTATCAATTTTCACTATTAACCGATTCCTTAAATTTTCAACTTTCAACTATTAACTGTTAATATCTATGTCTACTATTAACTATCAATTTTCAACTATTAAATATTACAATGATTCAACTATTAACTAAGACTTTCAGTTTTGAACTATTAACATCTATGTCTAATATTAACTATCAATTTTCACTATTAACTATTAGCAATGATTCGACTATTAACTAAGATTTTTAACTTTCGATTATCAATATCTATGTCAACTATTAACTATCAATTTTCAACTATTAACTATTAACAGTGATTAAACTATTAACTAAAACTTTCAATTTTCACAATCATCTATTAATATCTATTTCAACTATTAACTATTAACCTACTTTCAAATATACAAATATTAACCAACTTTCAAGAATTAATTTACAACTATGAACTATTAACCGCCCTTCAATTATTAATTTTGAACTATTACTATCAACTATTAACAACACTAACTATAAGCCATTAACAACCCTTGTCACTTAACCGTTGTCAGACTCTTATATCTCAGTCATTACCGCTTTTTTCTCACCCATTGTGGGACCGTTTTCTCAAGACTATTGAACGACTATTTTCTCTTTCCTATTGACGGGATCTTTTATCTTGTATATTGGCGAACCCTTTTCTCAAGTCATTTAACGGACACTTTTCTCTTGCTTATTGCTCGAAATTTTTCTTCCCAGCATTGTCAGACCCTTTTCACCCAGTTACAGGACCGTTTTCGCTTACCATTATTTCAACCATTTCCATACACTTTTCACGCAGTTACGGGACCTTTTTCGCTTACTTCCAACCATCGCCATATTCTTTCCACCCATTTACGGGACCCTTTTTGCTCACCATTATTTCAACCATTTCCAGACCCTTTTCACCCATTTATGGGACCCTTTTTGCTCTCCGTTATTCCGACCTTTGCCAGACCCGTTTCACCCAGTTACGGGACCATTCTCGCTTACCATTATTACAACCATCGCCATATTCTTTTCACCCATTTTCGGGACCTTTTCGACCACCATTATACCAACCATTACCAGACCTATTTCACCCAATTAAAACCTCACAATAAAACAAACTGTTGGACACTCGCGTTGTTTAAATAAAATATCAGCAATGAATAACAAACTGTTGGACACTAACTTTGTTAAATAAATGATCACTTTGTTTTTGAATCTAAAAACAATTTCCAAATAAAACAAATTTTGACAAACAAAAAAACAAAACAGTCAAAACACATCTTAAATACAATTAACAAACAAAAAAAAATAAAAAAATTACAGCAAAAAAAACAAAACAACTTCTAAGAAATTCACATTCTTTCTTTACTTCTCTAAACACACACTATTTTCTGTTTGGGATATTTTGTCATTTTTAATTAAAAATAAAACACAACGCCAAACACAGCAAAATTCAAAGCTGCGGACAGACAAACAGACAACAATTCTAAAATTTAATATAGGATTATCTAAAAATCTAAAACAATTTTTTCTATTTAATTTAGAATTTTTTTGTAAGTATGGAAACTGGTTCGACTACGGCAAGACGTGATGTGTTCACATTTTTGATCGATTTGGGTATATGTTTTATTATTTTCATGGGGATTTTGGGTGATTGATTTTTTGAGATTTGATAAATTGTTGGTACTTATGAAGATGGAGGTGCCCTTTCTGCGGACTTTTTTTGCGGACTTTTCTTCCTTTCTTTTAAATGTTTTACTTGTAGCAACTAACTGTCAACGCCACTCCCCCATTATTCTTCTTACCTAAGATTGTACATAAAGGTCAGATTTTCTTCTTCCTCTCCTTCCTCTATTTGCCCTGTGGCAAATTCAAACAAGAGACATTGATAAAGAGAAGATTAATTTTATAGTCATACACTTATTTTTTGCCTTCGAAAACAATTTAAACAAAAAAAGAATTAAATAAAATTGATTTGGTGTATAACATTATGAATTTCTGTGTAAAAACTTTACATTCCTACTTATATTTAAAAATATTGAACAACTGAAAAAATAAATCGTACTCAATATTGAACAACTCAATTAATTTTAATCTTCTCTTTATCAACTATGTCTCTTGTTTGAATATGCCAAGCTCAAACAGAGGAAAGAAGGAAATCTGACCATTTTGTGCAATCTTAGGTAATAAAAATAATGGGGGGGGGGGACAAGGTTTGAAATTACCCGCATTTCTGTTCCACAATAACATATTCTTTTTCTATGAAGTATTCCGAGATCAGTGATCCATTGTCGAAATTCATCATCGTGTAATTGAAAATTTAGTTAAAGTAAAATTTTTAATTGATTGTAACATTTTTTACGTTTATATATTCAAATTAATCGTGAACACATATTTTTCAAATTGGCATAAAAAATAATCCTTTGACATTAATTGCTACGAGCAAAACTTGCTGAAAGCAAAACAACCAAAACATTTAAAAGAAAGGAAGAAAAGTCCGCAAAAAAAGTCCGCAGAAAGGGCACCTCCATCTTCATAAGTACCAAATTGTTTTCTATAAATTCAATTGTTTCTTTTCAATAATTAAAAAATATTTTTTAGGAATTCGTCTTAAGGCGGAATCATTAACTATTGGATATTCTTCTATTTATTGTCATCGTGTTCTTACTCAAAAAGATTTTCCAACTGGCCATATCTGTCCTTATGTTTGTTGGATGTCTTCATTATCAATTATTTTTCTTTTCTTTTTTATTCGGTAGCAACTGCTTGTATGCTTGTGGCAGGAAAGGTGACCAGCGATACAAAAATTAACACAAGAGATGCTATGAATATTTCTTACAGGTTTTTAAATTTATTTAACTTTATAGGGAAGGAACTGAAAAATAATGTATGGGTCTGAATAGAGATTTTCGTTAAGCTACAATGATCTAAATTTAAATTTTATTTCAAAAAAGTTTTAAAAAAATTGATAATTCTGAAGTAAAGGAAGAAAAGTTAGCATCGGAACTCTAGTCTGAAGAGATTTTTTATTAACTACAAAATCCAAGACCGAAATTTTTCTTTTTCATGTCAGTATTATTCATCCTGACGCACCACCATTGGACATTGGAGAACTTTCTTATTCACTTAAAGAGGGTCTCATCGAACTTGAGTTGGTTGTTCTCCGTTGTTTGCGTTTCCGGCTTAATTTTGAACATCCACATCAAGTATTTTATTTAAAAATCATTAGAAATTTTATTTTTTAAGGATGTTATTCTAATAATCCGACTTCTTCGTGATTGGTATCCAAATATATTTCTTCGACAACGAGACGATATTGAAAAGGTTACGGCTATGCTCTTACAAGATTTGTACGTTTATCCAGAGATTGTTCTTGACCATAGACCGAGGACACTTGCTGTTGCTGTTAGTTTTTAATTAAACTTGATTGTAATTAGGGGCTGGGTGTAATTGAGGTTTTTTTTGTTATTTTTGGGGTCTTTTTTGTGAATTTGGAGAAATTTATTGTTTAAAGTTTTGATTTCAATATTCTCATAGGTGATTTCATTGGCCTTCTCTTCTCTCAACCTTAACATTGAAGACATAGAATGGGCACCAGTTTTTGTGCAGAAATATGACGAGAGGCGAATGTACAAAATTAAGAAGAAAATTTTGGAACAAATTTATGAAATTAAAAATCTTTTATAAATTATTTTGTCAATTTGGTATTTTGTTTTTATTAAAACATTATTTTTTATATTTTTACAGAAATTATAGCTTGCTAAAGCTTGCAAATACTTTTTAATTTTAACGTTCTTTGATTGACCTTTTTTAGATAATTCGTCTTATTTTTTTTAGGAATTTCTGCAATTTTTGTTTTGGAAATATAATAGAGCTTGTTTAAATTCCTAAAAATGGTAATTTTTTGTATTTCTAAATTTATTTTCTTATTTTTAGGTTTCATTAACCTCAAGAGTGGAGACTGGACATCGTGACATTATTGTAATGTTATCTTTTATTGAATTTTAAAATAAAATTTAAGCACGATGCGCAAATGAATTATTATGGGACTCGTCTTGCTACTTGCTCAAGCGACCACTTGGTCAAGATTTTTGAGATAAAGGCTAATGGTCAAAGTCTACCGATAGCTGAACTTACAGGGCATGACGGACCGGTATATATTTTTTATAAAATTTAAAGATTTTTCTTATAAATTATGATAAAATAAAATTTTTTTGAGGTTTGGCAAGTGAGTTGGGCACCTCCAAAATTTGATAATGTATTAGCATCTTGCTCTCATGATCGGTATATCTTGCAATTATTTTTTAAAATTTTATTTTAATTCAGAAAAGCAATTATTTGGAGAGAAGTTAATGGAAAATGGCAAAAATCGGTTAGAGTTTTTAACGTTTTTATTCAATTTTCTCTATATAGTATGAATATAATCAACATGAAGCAAGTATTAATAGCATTAGTTGGGCATATCCTGAATATGGACTGATTTTTGCTTGTTGTTCCACAGATTGTTCAATTTCTGTTGTTCAATATATGGGTGATGTTTGGTCTCCTTTGAAGATTAATAATGCACACGAAGAGGTTTTATTTTTAAATTTAAGAGGTTTGGGTCACAACTATTATTTGGTTATCCTTCTTTAAAAGAATACTCTTTAAGGGATGTAATGCCATCAGTTGGGCACCAGCGAAGAGAATAAAATCAGTTCTTGACAAAACCGAGAAAATCGATCCTAAACGATTTGTAACCGGTGGAAATGATCGGCTAGTAAAAATCTGGAGGTTTTTAAAGAAATTCTTAATTTAATCTTTTGTTGTTTATATTTTAGAGAAGAAACGCCTGGGAACTGGAAAATGGAGGCTGAACTAGAGGGACATGAAAATTGGTTAATTTCTAATTTTCTTAATAAAATTATTTTTTACGTTATTTATCTTTGAAAAATTTTTAGGGTCCGAGATGTAGCCTGGTCTCCCTCTGACTCATTGACAAGTACAATAGCCTCTTGTGGAGTCGATGGACAAGTAATAATTTGGAGATGTTCAAATTTGGATTCAGATGAAGGTCCAAAATGGACAAGTCGTGTACTTCGAAAATATGATGATCGTAAGAGAAATTTTTTTTAATTCGTTAAAAAATTCTTTTTAGCCCTTTGGCATGTAAGTTGGTCATTATGTGCAACTGTTTTGGCTGTTTCTGGAGCAGACAATAAAGTTTGCCGAGGAAATTAATTTAAAATATTTTTATTTTCAGGTTAATTTATTTCAAGAACGTTTACCTAATCAGTGGATACAAATTTCTGAACCTGATGAGGACAAATAAATGATTTTAAAGCAATCTTAATTATCTTTTAATGTTTTCTATACAAAGGTTGTTTATATTAATTGGGGAATAAAATTATTTAAATTAAAATTTAATAATTTTTGAACTGGGTAAAATTATAAATAGGGAGTAGATTTAATTTGAAGGGAAGATTAATTTTATTTTTGAATTAAATTTTTTGACGATTTTTTCCAATTTTCGAATTTATTTAAGAGAGAACCCAAAAATAAATAAATTTTATGAACATCATCTAAAAATGAACTAAAAAAGAAATTTAAATATTTTTTATTTTCCCCTTTCTCTCCCTCCTTCATCTCCGATTATATCCCGGTCCAGTTCTTGGAGGAGGACAGTGATCCTTTAATTTAATTTTTAATCAATTTATTTAATAAATTATTTTCGACTTACACATGAGCCTGGTTGGCCAGGCGGTCCTCTTGGCCCTGGAGGTCCTTGAGGTCCAGGCAATCCATCAGCACCTTTCTCTCCAGGATCTGTTTGAGGGAATTAATTATAGCTATTTAATTTATTAAATAAAACCTCCTGGTGGACCAGGCGGTCCTGGCTTCCCTGGTTGTCCATCTTAAAAATATACATTTATTTTCTTCAAAAATATAAACTAAACCTCTTCCTGGAGGTCCTGGCGGTCCTTGAGGACCAGGCGCTCCTGGGGGCCCTAAAAATAAACTTTAATTTTTACAAAATTAAAATTTATTTACCAGGCGGCCCTGGCGGTGCACCGTTGATTATCTAAAAAAGTATTGATAATAAACAATCTCTTTTAGGTTTCCATACCTTTCCAGGCTCGCCAGGAGGTCCTTTATCTCCAGGCAATCCTGGAGGTCCTTGCGGGCCTTGTGGACCAGGGGGACCTGGCAATCCAGGAGTTCCATCTCTTCCGGGAGTTCCGGCTTAAAATAAGAGCTTTACATTTAAGAGAAGTGCATTTACCTTCTCCTTGAGGTCCTGGCAATCCTTTTGGTCCAGGAGGTCCTGGTGGACCTATAAAAAATAATGTCAAAACTGTCTTTTCTTGAAAACTTGCCTGGAGGTCCAGGCGGGCATTTTTGACAGGGAGGTTTTGGAGGCTAAAATAGTAATTTATTGAGTAATTAAGTTTAATAACAAACTGGTCCTGGAAGTAGAACACCATCTCTACCTGGTGGACCAGGATTTCCAGGTCGGCCTGGAGCTCTGAAATGAATTTTTGGTACTTTTCCATTATCTACTCCCTCCTTTTTTAAATAAGCAAAGATTACCCAGGTCTTCCATCTTTTCCGGGAGGGCCAGGTGGACCAGGCGGTCCCACTTGGCAATTACAACAACTTCCACCTCCAACCGCTCCACTTCCAGGTGGAGACCCTATGGCTTGAGCATCATATCTTGCATTGTTTTGACGCTTTCCTCTTTCAATTGTTTCGTTAACAGATACACCAGTTACCGATTGGATTTGTAAAATTTCTCTCCACATATCCCGTGAACGAGTCTATATATTTTTTAATTAAAAATAATTTTTTCTCAAATTTTTGCCTTGCAAAAGTCCACTTCATTTTGCATAAATGCTTGTATGCTTTGTACATGACTATATACAATAGGCAATGTAACAACACATCCAAGAACTGAAACTGTGGCAAAAGCTACAGAGGCAAAGGCTAATAAACGAAGAGAACGACGTGGACGTTCTTCTTCATTTAAATTTCCGTCATTTTCCATAGCTTTTCCGTTGCCGAATGGAAGTGTTGAAATGTTGGATAATTGGGGAGTTTTGTTATCTGTGGTCCAAATAGGGGCCATTCTTAAATTTAAAAAAAAATTAAAACTTCTTTGGGATGTGTATAATACAAGATAAACAGTTATTTACAAGCTAGCTAGTAAATTTTGTAAACATGCGAGAAAAGAGAAATTTGCTGATTTTTTGTTCTTTTTAACGAGAAGTTGTTTGTTAAAATAATAAAATATTTAAAATTGTTTTGAACAAATATTCCTCCCTATATATTTAATAGATACATTACTTTATCCATTAATTATACTTATAATAACGAATTGGGGGCAATCGCCGCTAAAAATATTAAAGGAAATGACCTTAATTTTCTTTTTATCAATGATTGACACAAAAAAAGAGAGAGAATGATAATTAAATAAATAATTAAAAATTGTGTTAAAAATATTTGTTTTTAATTCTTAGTTTAATTCTCGATAAACTTTAATTAATATAAATTTAAAATATCATCTTCCAGTTGTTCATTTAAATAATTTTTTGAATTATCTTTTAAATATTTATTAATAATTTCTTTGGTAAAGACCTTTAAAATAAAAATATTTTTAAAGATTTTAAGTCGAGGATTTGGAGATTTATTTAAAAATGGTTATAAAAATTAATATAAAATATTAATTTAAAATTATTTCTCACCCCGGGCGGAAGATGTAAATGTTCTCCATTAATTGAAAGAAAATGTAGACGGCCACTCTCCTCAAGTGTTTTTAATCTTTTAAAATTTAGAAATTTAAATAAAAATAATTAAATACCCAATTAAATCTTCCTGATAAAGACGTGTTTTCTCCATTGGAATAATTGTATTTGTGTCATTTTCAGCATAAAAGCCAAACCACTTTATTTGGAAAATTAAATTAAAAAATGTTTTATAATTTTGTGTATTTATAAAGTTATAGACAAAATCTGGGAGTATAACTAAAGTAAAATTTATAAAAAAATTTTAGAGGTTGGGATTGACATAAAAGAAATCAAAATTATTAGCTATAAATTAAAAATATTTTTTTTAATTTATAAATATTATTTTAAATATTCGATAAAATACTAGAGGTTCTGATAAATTTTTAATTAAAAAATATTTTTAAAATAAATTTACAGAGGTCTGTTTAGGTTGCATTTTCTCATCTTTTAAAAATTTAATTAAAACAAAATTCTTTAATTTTAATAAATTATTTTTGTAAGTAGAATTACATGTCTAAAAATTTAATTTTAAATTAATTTCTAAATTAAATTAACTGTTTCACAATTTAAATCTGTCAGAAAAATATTTTTACGTTGATATTCTTTTCTTTTATTTGGATCACTTAGAAAAAATTATTTTTTAAAGAATTATAGTATTTGATACTTACTGCCAAAATTGAGCTTGAACTATTCTAAAAAATAATTTAAATTTATTTTTTTATTAAATAATGAGAGATAAGATAAATGTTAGTGTAAATATTAGGAATAATGCTGTTCTGATTATTAAAAGTTGAAAAATTATGTTTTATCAGCACGATCCCTAGTGAGTAGATTTTTTAAAGAAACACTGATTGACAGATTATCAGAGATTGGAATTTCACTTTATTTTATAAAAATAATTTTATATTTTCTGTATGTGACTAAGAAAATGTGAATAAATTGGAGAATAAAAAAATAGAAAAAATTATTTAAACACCAACGTTCTTTGAATAAACGTTTCATAAGCTCCATAATCCAATAAATGTCTAATTGTGTCACAAATAGCAACAGAACCAGAACAATGAGGCAGACTTTAAAAGAGTTAATTTACTAAATTTATTTGTTTACCCAAAAACTCCTTGTTGGGGACCGCCTACAGATATCTTTAAAAAATAATTTTTATATTTAAATTAAAATATATTTAACCAAATTTCTCATTGGAGGGTAAGGACAACGCTGAGCTATAGCACGCCTAAAAATTTAATTTAAAAATATTTTTGACCCCTTTTATTAAAAAATTAAATTAAAATATTGAGAACAATGAGGCAAGCCTTTCTCTTCATTTTTTTATGATTTAAGGATAATTTAAAGGTTCTTTATAATAGAAAGAATTTAGCAAAAGTTTAGCCACCGGCCAGGATTGGACCCTGCGACCTCCTGACAGTTATTGCTAGGCGCCTTCGCTCACCATATACAGAAGCTCTACCACTGAGCTACGGGGCATCAAGCCTTCCCTTCTATCCTTTTAGATCGTTTAACTCCCGCCTAAGCGTTTTAAATAATCCAGGTGAATCATCCTTACATAATAAATAGAGGCCTCTCTAATAAAAGGAAATAGACTATAAATTATATATTTTTAATTAAAAACGAACATAAAAAGCCCTCCTTGGCTAAATCCAATAGCATTATATCCTTTCAATAAGTTCACATCTTCTTTCAACATTTCACAAACAATATTAATTTGTTCATTCATATTAGAGAAAAACCCTTTCTCAACATCTTCAACTACATTATTTCCAAGCATTACAGATTTAACATAAATTCCAGGAATATTTGTTTGTATTAATTTTTTGATGTAATACATACTTAGAGGGTTACAACAAGAATCACCTTTTTATGTTTTTAATATTAGAATATATTTATTGTGTTTTAGTTTTAGTTAATTTTCGTTATTAGAGACACGAAAAATCAAAAATTGACACAAATGTACCAGCCTTTGTTAACTTTTGCTGGAAATGAACTATCGCATATATTAAATTAAATGGTACTAATGGGAGTTTATTGTATAGAGGAAGAGAATTGAATTGAAATTTTAAAATTTGTAAAATAGAGATATTTACAATATTTACAATATCCATAAAATTAATTTTAAATATTATTTATCCAAATCCATCAAATATTTTAATTTTTATTTATTAAAAACCAACCCATTCCATGCCAAATCACAACAGGAATTGGTGTTGATATTTTTTCTTTTTCCAAAATAAATGAAAAATCTTCAGAATCTTCATAGAATGCATGGACTGATAAAAAACAATAAATTGTAAAAATTAAATAAAAGTTTAAAATTGAATTCATTCTTAAAATTACTTATTTCAATAATAGTTAAGTTTATGTGACGCATTTTCTCTCATTTTTAATCTTTCCCAAAATCAACCTCTATATTTTGTAGGCACCATTTCAAACGAGAAGATTAACTTTTAATCAATGTTTTCACAAGGATAAAAAGTGAAACATGATTTCAAAAAATATATTTTGAATATTATCAAATTGTTTACGACACATAAATTCTGGAGAATAATTTTTAAAGTTTCCGAGTTATTTCCGGCAATATGACATAATTTTGCCTGAAAAGATGGCATCATTTTCACAATCTTTGTATAAAAACTTAAACTTTTCGTTTGATTTGGTGAATACGGCAAATAGAGGGGTATTTTGGGAAAAATAGATTGAGAAAGAATGCATCATATAAACTTAATTATTGCTGGTTCTCCATTAATTTCTATTTAAATGAAGGAAATTTAATTTATTTTCTATTTTTCATTTAATATACTTTCCCATCACAAAAACATTCATTTTATGCTTTTACTTTCTTATCAGTAGACTTTATCTATCATTAAAAATCGTGTCCGGACAAAATACCGAATCGTTAAAATATGGAATAGGCTAAAAAAGGGTTAAAATCTCGAATCGGGTAAAAATGGGTTAAAATCGCGAATAGGCTAAAAAGGGGTTAAAATGTGGAATCGTTAAAATATGGAATGGTCAAAATATCGAATCGGCTAAAAAAGGGTTAAAATATGGAATCGTTAAAATATGGAATGGTAAAAATGTCGACACGGCCAAAATCAGATTAAATATACCGTCTTCTGCAACTGATTTTACCTCATTAATAGATTTTACCTCTAATTTAGAATTTTATCCGTAAATGGATGTACGAACAACTTTAGCAAAATTACAAAAAACTCGAAAACGACGATTACAAATCAATGATACTTCTGATTTAAATGAACAAGAACCAGAAGCAAATCTTGATGGAGAAAATGAAAAATGCTATGGAGCAAATCTGACAAAATTTGAACAAGGAGTTACACAGAAGGGTGGCGTCAGCCTTTGGCATGCAGGTTTGAGCTAGATATCAAATTATTAAAATGGATTTTTTGAGGGTATCGATATGTCAAGAGTAAAAATATTCATTGGCGTTGTTCAAACTTGGACTGCCAGGCAACTGCAAAAGCTGAAGAGAAAAATGGCCAATTTATTGGCAGTTTAGGAGAAAAAGAGCATAATCATCCTCCAGCAATTCAAAAAAAAGTTTGTGAAGAGCTTAGAAATAGATTGAAGAAGGATAAGAGACCAATTCTGGGAGAAGTACGAGCAAATATCCCAGATGAAGTTTACATTGCTTTGGGTAGTGATGATGCTTTAAATCAGCTTATAAAGAGGTTTATTTTCATTATTTTCTTTCAATAAATTACCCTCATTTTAGGCAAAAAAAGCAAAAGTTTGGGAACGTTAATTGTGTGGATCTTGGAAAAATGGTCATTCCAGCGTTTTTGACAGAAAAATACAACTCATCAACGTTGATTTACGACAGTAGAGATGAGCGTGGAAATGAGGATGTTGTTCTTGTCTTTAGCCATGCAAGGGTTAATTTTAATAATTTTGAACTAGTATTATTTTTAAAAATTTAGTTGCTCGATATATTATCTCAAAATAAGCATTGGGCCTGTGATGGCACCTTCAAATCCGCCCCAAGGCCATTTGCGCAATGTTTTTGTATTGGTGCTTTTGTACGAGGTCGCATTGTTGTTTGTGTCCAAGCCCTTCTTCCAACAAAAAAGACAATTCATTATCAGGAAGTATTGAGAGAAGTAAGGCGTGCTATTAATGAAGCCGAATAATGAAGCTAAATGAAGCCGAATACGATGATAATAGACAACTTCTGAATGTTCTAACGCTCCTTGGCTTACAAATGAGTGGTTATGTTGAGGGACTGCGAGTTGCTACACGTCAACAGGAAGAACGTGATACTGAAGATGGTGTGGATAGTGCAACTTTGGAAAGTCAAATTATTAGTCAAGATTATTTAGACGCTTCTAGTTCATTATTTATCTATTAATATTTTACTTTATTTTTTATTATTTTTTTATTGACTTTGATTATTATTTTATTGTTCAATGATTCTAGCTTTAATGATTTTTGTTCGGTGATTTTAAATGAAATATAAAATTTTTATTTTGCTTAGTTTTGATTTTACTACGACATACGAAACTTATCAATCAAATTATCAAAAATAAGTTGATAAGTTGTCATCAACAATCAGCGTATTGCACTCATATGACCCTTTTTTAAAAGAATTCGACATTTTGACAGATTTTAGCCGTGTCGACATTTTTACCATTCCATATTTTAACGATTCCATATTTTAACCCTTTTTTACCCGATTCGATATTTTAACGTTTCCATATTTTAACGTTTCGGTATTTTAACCCCTTTTTAGCCTATTCGCGATTTTAACCATTCCATATTTTAACGATTCCATATTTTGTACCGGAGCCTTAAAAATAAATATGTACCATTCAATTAATTTTCTACCAATTAATCGAGTTATTGATGGTTTTTTAACAAGTGATCGTAAATATATTGCCGGTATACTGTATTTAATTTGAAAATAAAATTTCGAAACGAAAACTTTCAAGTAAATTAATTAAAATTTAAAAATTAAATGGCTTCGTTATTTACTTTTTTTTCTGCAAAAGTAATTTCTCTAATTTCCAATTCTTTTAGACAATAATATTTTATCGAAAATGAATGTTTTAAAACTTGTCGATTATTCTCCTTCTTCTGATTCTGGAAATGATGAACAAAAAACTCCAAGAGCAACGCCAACTCCAGTTATTTTTCGTGGAAAACGAGTTTTTCGAAGAATTATTTATTCTGATCAGAGACCGGATGCAACACCAATTAAACGAAATTCTAGTCCAGAAAAGGTACCCGAACCTTCAAAGTCTCCAAAAATGTGTTCATCTGCTACGAAAAAAATTTCTAAGAAAAATTTAAATAATGAGATGAAAACGCCAAAAAGGAAGCGTTGGACTAGAGAAGAATCTAATAAATTGAAGGTTTGTGAATGGAATTTTTTTTTATTTAGGTAATAGTAAAAATTGGGAAATTGGTCCGTCTTGGATTTTTTGGTTAAATTTAACAATAAATTTTTTGGTCTTTTATGGGAATCATTAAGTATTTTTTGCTGTAAAAATATTTTTTTATTATTTTTAAAAATTCTTTTTATTTTAATATTTTTCAGATTGCACTCAAAGCCGCAGTTAATCCAACAACAGATGCCCACTGGGAGCGCATAGCAAAGTTTATATTTTTCTCAAAAAATTAAATAAATTTTTTTTAATTTTAAGGGCTCTTGGAGGTTTTCGTACAATTTCTGAATGTAAAGAGCAGGCTACGAAATTAGAGTGGAAACCTCTGGAGGAAAATGATCGCAAAAATAGTACTGATTGTTCTGACAAATTTTTCAATGACAACACGACTGACGTTCGTTTTTATTTTTAATTGGATCCAGTTTTGCAAATCCCCATCTTCAAAAATTAATATTTGGGTTATTGGGTGGACAAAGTTCTCTAAAGCAAGAAGAGGAAGAATATTAAAAATACCCTAAATTAGTTAACAGTGGGGGCGAATAAGCTAAAATTAATTGAGAAAAAGTTTAGGAGAGGTTTAGGATATTCGTTTCCTAACGGATGGTTTCCAAGATTGAGTTTGAATGTTCATAAAGGGTAGACAGTTTTTTCCTTTTTTATAATTAAATTTCTAGTCTATAGGTTTACCATAAAATTTGTTTTCATATATTTAAATAAAGCATTTTTTTAGTTTAAGGACCTTAAAGATCTCAGCTTAAATGATTCTTTGTTTGATGTTGCTTTTAAATCTCCGCCAGAACAAGTTCGTTGTGCACGTCGACCATTTCTTTTGCAATTGGTGACTGAAGAAGATGAGAGTCCAAATGTGAGTTCTCCCTTTGATTGATTTGTTGGGTTTGTTTCGATTTTGCCAAAGATTAAAAAAATTTTAAAGTTTGTCAACCTCTATAAATTGTATCGAGATTTTTTTGTAATTTTTGATTAAAATATTTTAAATTTTTTGTTAATTAAGTTAATCGTCGGGCTGCGAATTTTAAGGGAGGAATAAACGAAATAGGTTGAAATAGGGGTAACAAGAATTGTCGTTTTTGTGTGTAAAGTCGACGTCAGTTAAGCCTTAACAGTCAGCCAGAAGGCGTTTGTGTTGCCTTTATAAAAATTGAATTGCCTTTAAAATTAAATAAAATTATAATGAGAAGAATCAGAGTTTAACACAAGTCATTAAATAATATAGGTTCATTAAAAATTATAAATTAAGGCAAAACCATCTATTTTTTATTTTTAAATATTTAAAAAACCATTAAAAATATTTTTTAAAAATCGTGTTTATTATTTTTTATGAAAAAATTTAAAAATAAAAAAATTAATTTTGAGCATCTTTTTGTTTAAATTTATTCCCCAGATTCATGAAGTATTCTTTCTTCATTCTCCCCAATCTCTGAAGAATGATTTTCAGCCAAATCGAGAGATATTTCATCCAATTTTTCTCTAGGAACGTCGGTCCCTTCAATTAAAACTGGGCAATTTAATGTTTTTGAAATTTCTTTTAATTTTTCTTTAGAATTAATTGGGTCTTCAGTAAATGTTGTAATTAGTTGAATAATTATATTTGCCAAATATTCGGGGTCGTGTTGACCTTGAAAACCCATAAATTTGCCAATTCTTCCTGGAGTGAGTAATCCCAAATCTGAAAAAAAGACGTTTTAGACGGTTCTTTGGGCTTCTACTAAGGTCGCCTGTAGTTCTGCGAGTCTTCGTCTCCCACTTAAAATTCTTACATATTTGAACACAGCTTGGCGAGACGAATCGAATGGTATATATTATGAGTTCCGATCTCGGTGTAGGTATACTAAAGCGACCCCGTTCTGGGCATTCGGGACCGAAAAAAGATGTATTTTTGCTTTTGAATATCCGAATATTTCCCAGGAACAACCAACCTCTCACTTTCTTCCCGCCCAGAAAACCCAGGGAAAATCCCAATAATAACTTTAAAAAACCTGAAAAAGATTGATGCACAATATCAGTCAATGTATACATTGATTTCCCTTCCCCTCCATTTTGTTGTTGTAAATACAACAATCTCTTAAAATAATTTTAAAAAATATTATTTTAAAAAGATTAAAAAGAGAAAAACCTTCAAATTCATAGGCCATTGCCATTTACTCGCATTTAACATTAAAACTGGTTGGGTAATTTCTTCGTAATATTTACAGTCAAAAGGATATAGCCAAGCATCCATAACAACACAACACTTTAAATAAAGGAAATTTAATATATAGACACAGAGGCCTTCAAATTATTGTAACAAATTAGTGAAGTTAACAAATATAAACCAGGCCCATAACTAGAATTTTGGGGGGGGGGGGGGGGCAAGAGGGGAAAATTTTTCAGAGCCGAATTTTTGGCGCCAAAAGGCAAAGGTAAGCCGAAGGCCCTCCCCGGCTACGGGCCTGATATATTGTATCATTTCAATATGTTTTTGAATTACTAAACACAGCCTTTATTACCTTCTTCCTTTCCTTCCCTATATTCAAATAAAACAACAAAAAAATACTTTAAAACCCTTTTCAACAGCACAAGAAGTCAAAGCTGAAGCTCCTCCAAAGCTATGCCCAATTGAAATTGCTTTATCCAAATTTAATCTTCCCTTAAATTGTTCCCAATCAAATTCATTTCCACAAACAATTTCTACATTTGAATTACGCAATCCCTCATTTAATTTTTTAAATAATTTTAACATGTTAATTGTTTCCAATGTACGTTGTTGTACCTAAAAATATTTTTTTAATTTGAACAAAAAATTAATTAACCTGAGCTATTCTACTCTCGTATTCTTGCTCTTCGTGTGGAAGTTTTTTCATTTCAATATGTTTTTGAATTAATTCACCAGTTGACGGGTCTTTATTCAATTCATAGGTATAACAAGAAGAGCCATCTCTAAAAATTAAAAGAAAATTATATAGAATGGAACAGAAGGGGACATAGTGAAGGTTTAGAGGGTTGGGGGCCCGGTTTGGTCCGAAAGATCGAGTCGGGCAGCAAATTTTGGCCCGAAAAAGACTCGGTCGGGCCTGCCCGAAAAAAATGACTTGAACGTCGGCTCGACTCGAAAAACCCAACCCTAAGGTTTAGAAAGGAATGGAAGTGAATCGGAAAGAGATTTTGTCCGAAGATTTTACCTGTGATCCAAAGCAGCAACAACATAACCATGACTGGACAAAGAAGAACAATTAATTGAGTAAAGTTGTCTAGTTCCACTAATTCCATGAGAGAATACAACAACGGGAAATTGTTCCTCAGATTTAGCAAGAGGGACTTGCCAACGGGCTGGGATTCTAAAAAAGTAAGATTTTTTTTAAATGTCTTTATATTGGAAAAAAAACAGTATTTTTTTAATTTTCCAACATTCGAATTTTTAAATTAAAAATTCCACCCTTTAAATTACTCCAAAAATTATTTTTTTCCTTCACAAAAATGATTTAAAAATATCATTCAAAAAAAATTATTTTCCCCAAATATTTTCTCCACCTTTTATCGCCAAGTATCCAATCCAAAATTAAATTTAATTTCCAAGAACTCATCCCTTTATAAGCAGCCAATCCCTCAATAACCTTCTCATCAGGCTTCCATTGCATAAATTCATTTAACCTTTCTATTGTGTATTTATCTGGACTTAAAGCTTCACTAGGGTAATAAATTCGAGCAAAAATTCCTTCACACTTTTCTTTATCATTATTAGATGAACAACAACACTCCTCTCCATTCAAAATCTTTTAAAAGAATTAAATAATTTTAAATTAAATCTCCAAATTAATTAGAATTTATTGAAAGCATTTAAGAAAAAAATTGCTCAAGTTGTAAAGCATATAGCTATTTATTACTAAAGTTGTGCAGTAGGTGGCGTGATGTAATGGATAACAAAAATGTGTAAAATGGAAAAGTCCGGTCTACGGAAGTTTCTGGTTCGCTTCTAACCGCCGATTAACCTCTTGCACTAGCTGAAGGAAAGAAATAGCTATGGCTCAGGAGCTTTATTAACAATAAGTCATAAACATATAGACAAAAATTAGGGAAAACCATTAAGTCTAAATTAATCAAATACAATAGAAAACCCCAAAAGAACATATGTCTCTTATATCGAAGTATTTATGTACATATACTAACACTAAATAGAGTTTATCCACCAATTTTTAACAATAAAAATATGTATATTTGACCCGTTATTTAGATAAGTTTTTGGATATAGAATAAATAACTAATGGATAATTTTCAAGAATTTCCTCAATTAAATTCCTCAAGAATTACTATTAATCCCCTCACCATAATATCAGCACAACCAACATCAAACCTTCCATTTCCCAAAAGGGGCAAAACATTTTTTTGTAAAGGTTTTTTATTTTTATTACAACAATTTTTATTCTCTCCCTCTTCCATCTCTTCTTTTAATATTTCATTTTTATTTAAATTATTTTTGTTGTCAATATTTTCATCACAAGTACTTCCATAAGCGAAATATGAAGAAGTAATTGTTCCCATTAATTTATTTAAAAATAAATAAAATTATAAAAAAAATATTTATTAAAATCTAAAATTAGAATTTGTTATTAAATAAATATGTATTTGGAAAAAGAAAATTCTAATTAAATTAGGTACTTCAAATGAGAAAAATAGGGATTGCGAAAATTTAGGGTTGTGGAACAAAAGAATTTTGTGGAAAGGAATATGTATGAGGGGGAGGGAAGTATCTCGATTTTTTTTATTTAAACAAGAAATTTTTCTTTTCAGCAAGGTTAAACATAAATTACCTCAGATAAAATAAAAATATAATTTTAAAAATTAAAAAAAGAAAAAGTTAAGATAAGACAAAAATATTTTTAAATTATTTATAGACAATATAATTTTTTTATCAAATATTATCTCTTTTTCTCTCATTTAATTTTTCTGCTAATTTTATTCACAACCGTTGCTATGGGAAATAGAAAAGCAATATTTACGTTTTTTAATGCTAAAAATAATTTATGCAAAAAAATATTGAAAAGTTATTTGAAATAAAAAAGTAATTTTAAGCATTAAAAGCAAAAATTCTCAAATGATTCATAAAAGAAAATATTTACAAATATCATTGGAGAAAAAATATGACAAACAAACAAGTCTTTATAGATTGGAAATTAGAATAGTTCTCATAAAAAAGTCCTCATACCTGGGATCCTGCCGACAAATACCAAAATTAACAATTTCATCGGGATCCCGACTTAAAAAACGTCGGGAATTCCCGGTTTTCGTGAATCAGGATGGCAGGATCCCTCATACATACTACCAACTTTTAACTTCAAATAACTCAAATATACCCTCAATAAGGTCTTTTTTGATTAGTTCTCCTCAAGAAGCTCAAATTTTGCCAAATTACTTAAATACTTATACCAAAACTGAATAAAATCCAAAAGTAAATTGTCCTTTTCAGTTATTTTTATTAAAAAATAAATTTATATTTGCAGTGTTTTCATTTAAAAAATTAATTTTTGCTCAATTTTTAATTTATTATCTTTTACTATTTAATTTTGGAAAGAAAATAAAAAATTTACCGTTTTATCATTAAAAATTAAAGTAATTAATTTATTAATCAAAATAAAAGTAGAGATTTTTTAATATATAGATTTAACTGATAATAATTTGTGGACGATATGAAATGAGTAAAAAGGAAGGGAAAGAATTGAGAGGATTAACGATTATATTTTAAACAAAAAGATCTAAAAATTTTTTTTTAATTAAAATTCAATAAATCACTAAATAAAATGTTTCGGTCTTTTGGATAAATTTGATAGAGAGATGAATAAAATTGAGAAGTATTTGCACTAAAAATAAATTGTAAAGGAGTATAGACGAGAGTAAAAAGTAAAAAGATCAAAGTAGATTATTGTTAGTTTATTGATTTAGGTGGAGGGTTTTCTAATAAAAATCAGAAATGAATATATCAGTTGGAGGTAAAAATATTTTTTTTTAATTTAAAAAGTAATTGAAGTAAAATATTTTTTTAAAGAAACAAAAAATAGTAAAATGTCACTTCATAAAAGCAATCGATGGCATTGAAGAATTTTTGTTTGAGAAAATAATAATAATAATATTTTTTGTCAAAAGCAGCTGCCTGTCACGTGTTTTTCTTTTTTTATTTTAAAAGCTATTTATTTTATATTTAATTTATTTTCTTTACAAATAAAACTCTTTTAAATAAATTTACAAAAATAAAAGAAAAAAATTATTTAAAATTTGTAAATTAATTTAAGCAGGGAAATAATTTAATTTTAAATACTTTTTTAGAATTAAAGATCACTTAAAAGAAATTGGAAAAAATGAAAAAAAGTTTAAGAAATAAGCGCATGCCTTTAATAGTAAATGATAAATTTAATTTTAAAGAGTCATCTGGAAATAATCAATAAATGTAGAGAAACATGCAAAAAAGTGAACAAATATTTCGTTAATATTTCTAAAAAAATTATTTTTTAAATAAAAAAAAGACTATTAAAATTTAAGTAATTAATTGCTTAGAAAATCAGTTTTTGAATTATTCGACATTTGATAAATTCTGGAAATATTCTTTTAATTTTTGAATACTAATAATCTTATTAAAAAACTTTTTTATGAGTGATCAGACCTGATCCATACAGTTGGGTATAAGAGAGAGCTTATCGAGGGCTTTCGAATGATTTAAAATTCATCTGTATTGGATCAAGCATCAAAAAATTGAAGCTGTTAAAATTCGGCTGTTACTCAGTTTGCGGTCGATTAACGGAAAAGTACCAAAAAAAAACTATTAAAAATTTACAAAAAAATACAAAACGGATCTTTACTTTCTTCAAGCATATTTAGACAAGTTTGGATATTTATTTTTATTTCTGAAGAGTTTTATTCACTTAAATGTCTTTGGGCATTCTATTGTTAAATTGTTTCTACCAAAATTTTGAATAATATTATTTCTGTATTCATTATTATTTTGTAAATAAATTTATTTAAAAATACAAATGCAAATAATAAATTTTTCTTTATTTTATTCGTTTCGTTCAATTTTTCTTTTTTATCAAATATTTTATCGAACAAACATCAACGCTCAGTTTTGGGGAATGGGTGGGCCAATGCAAATGAATGAAGGAGGATGGGGTGGTGGTGGAGGTGGAGGTAAAAAAAGGAGAAATTTTGAATAAGGTGGTCATGACCGGTTTTTTAAATCGAAAATTGTTAAAAATTAAGTGATTTTGAGGGAAATTAAGATAGAAAACCGTTAATTTCTGAAAATAAGTTGTTAGAAATATTCTTTACAAAATAAATATGTATTTGAGTAAAAACCAAAACCGAAAATCTGGTTATGTAATTTGGATTAGTCAAAAACCGAAGGTCAGTAGCTGGTTGTGACCACACTGATTTCCATCTGTTAAAGATTTTTTGAAATTCTTTTTACTGGAAAAGTTTTTCCTTCAAGAACCAAGTATAATTATTTTCAATAAACAGAAGCTAAAAATCTGAAGGGCTCTTTATTATTTTAGATAGAAACTATAATTTGAAATTTTTATCAGGTTGGGGTCGTCCTTTCTGGGGAGGAATGCCAATGTCATTTAGAGGAGGATGGGGAGGTGTTGGTGGAGGTATGCCACAAATGGGAATGGGACAAATGTGGCCAGGCAATGGAGGGATGTTTGGTGGAAAATAATTGATATTTAATTATAAAATAAATATTTATTCTAAATTTAATTGTGAGATACATAAAATAAAATTATTTCAAATATTTTGAATTGTTTAATAATTCTAAAATTAAAAATTATTTTAAAAGATAAATAATTTTCGTTTTATTTTTAAAACTATTATTTTAACAAACAAAGAATACTTTTTAAAATTATTTTTAAATTTGCAATATTAAATTTCTTCATTCTCAAATGATGTCAAAACACAATTTGGCACACTAACAAATTTCCATACTTCATTCATTATTTAAATAAACTAAAATTAATAAATAATACTACAAAGGGTATTTAGATGCAGACCTGCTCATGGATACGGATACAGATAAAATCAAGGTGCCTGGGATATCCGACTGTTTCCGCCCTATATATCCGGATAACGAAATCAGTGTACATAAGCATCTGTTTAGATGTAGAAAACGATTAAAATAATCAAAGGAAAGGATATTTTATGTCGGCCCGTAAATGTCATCCTGCCTTGAATATCCTTTATGGGTCTTTCTCCTCTTAATGCTATCTCATGTCTGTCAACAAAGTCAGTTATGTATGTGCTGTAGAGATCGATATTTTTGAAAATCCTGGATCTGGATTCTGGATCTGGATTTAGGTTAGTAGCCTGGACAGGATTCTGGATCTGGATCCAGGAAAAATCCAGATCCAGAAAAAATCCAGGATTTTTTTGGTCTGGATCCAGCCTGGATTTCTGGATTTTTTTCTAAATCTAATTATATCCTTCTAAATCCACAGATATCCGGCTTAATCATTAGATATCCCTCCAAATCCCCTGATACTCTTCTGAAATTATCAATAGCTCACTTAATCCCCCAAATCCCTTGATATACATACTAATGCCCAAACCATCAATAACAGTCCTAATAACTTCAAATCACTTTATATCCTAATTAATC